CAGAGGTTAGGGTGCATCTAGTGGGCATGGAAACATAATAAGCAATCAGAGAACCCTTTTCTGTCCTTAGCCAGAGGGGCCAGAAGGCCTGCGAAGTCTGCCTGGCGGGAGACCCTGAAGCTTTGAAGCATTGTCAGAAAGCCCTCCGTGGCTGGGGCTGCGTAGTCCCTTTTCACACCCTTCCTGGTGTTTGGGCCCATCAACATGGCAAGATCCATCAGAATATATTGAACTTAACAAGCTGTATGTTGCACTGTAACAGGATAATCCTAAACTCATATTCAACCTCCTTATACCTGGCTATCCCCTGTGTGAGTCTCATATCCTGTTGGTGCCTCGACAGGAGGATGTTAAGATGCTATGATTTCAGGAAAAGCCAACAAACTTCAGTTCTAATCATGCATAAGTCACAGTAAAGAGAAAACTCTGGTCAATAGCCAAAACTGGGAAAAATAATTAACAAGCAACTTCAGTTTTAATTTATATTTCCAATACTAATGAAAAATGTATTCATTTAGAAATCAAATTTCCTGAGCATCTGTGATCATGGAAATGTTACTAGGATCTGAACAAGTAAGGTCCTGCCCTCATGTAGTTTCCAGAACAGCAGAGGAGGGACAAGGGAACAGGACAAGTGACAGTGAACAGTGCCATAATTAGGGAAAAACCAAGAGCCATTTATTGGAGCTGGAAGTCAGGAGAGACTTCGTGAAACATGTGATGCCTCAGCTGACAGCCAAACAATAAGGCGAGGGGAGGGGCCGCCAAGTGGCTCAGTTGGTTAAGAGCGCGAGCTCTGAGCAACAGGGTCACCGGTTCGATTCCCACATGGGCCAGTAAGCTGCACCCAAGCTGAGCTGCCACTGAGCTGCCAACAGGCAGCAGGATGGCTCAGCTGGTGAGAGCATGTGCTTCTAACAACAAGGTTGCTGGTTTGACTCCCGCATGGGACAGTGGGCTATGCCCACATGCAACTAAGATTGAACACGGCACCTTGAGCTGAGTGGCTGCAAGCTGCCGATGGGCAGCAGGATCGCGACTGGACTTGGAGCTGAGCTAGCTGTGCCCTCCACAACTAAGACTGAAGGACAACAACTTGGCTGTTCCCCTTTCCCGATTCCCCAACACTATTCCCCTTCCTCAATTCCCCACTAAAATCTTTAAAATAAAAGAGAGAGGGGAGTGGGCAAATATTCCACGCACTAGAAAATCACAAGCAGGTGTCTGGGAGCAAAAGAAAGCACATCCATTTGGAAGAACAGAAGGAAGTTTGTCGTAAAATAGACAGTTGGTAGGGAGTGGAGAATGACAGTCCTGGAGAAATAAGAGTGCAAGTAATGAAGAGTGGGCTCTCTACGTGATTCCGAGAGAAATGGGAAATCACTGAAAGATATTAAGGAAGAAATCATAAATATCTTGTATCTTATAAGACATTTTTCTGATTGCACTGTGGAGGAAGAATTGGAGAGAACCGAGAAAAGAGGTCTAGTGGCGAGAACAAATGGTGAACCGAGTAATGGTCATGGGGGTGGAGAGACAGGAACAGATGTAAGACCTGTTTAGAAGTTAGAAGAGACCAGGCCTGATTAGGCAGATGAGCATGGTAAGTAAGTGTTCAGACAACTTGGGTTCAAATCCTGACTCTGCCACTTACAGGGAAAGTTACTCATCCTTCTGCACCTTCATCTTCCTTCCCTTTCTGTAGCGTAGGGACAATAATAATCATACCTGCACATGGGATTACTACAAAAGATACACAAGTTAATTCACAAAGCACTTAGAACAGTTCCTGGCACAAGGCAAGTGCTCAAAAAAATATTGTCTTGAGTGTAATAGTTCAAAACTAGAAACGATTGTTCATTAACTATAGAATGGGATGTGGGAGGAAGGGGAAAGAGATAGTCATGGACCTCACATAGGATTTGGGCTTGGACAAATGGGTGGACGATAGTAGCTGTGCCAGCTGTCTATTTATTGCCTCTCAGCTCCAAAACCACTCTTCACGCCATGCTCTGAAATCATGGAGATGGACCTGGTAAACATTTCTCCTTTGCAGCTGGCCTTTGGCTGTTTCAGTAAAAGGCGCTAGAGGGGTGCTGCAGGAAGAAGGGATCATATATGCCCCCACATGCTTTTTTGCTCCTACATATTACAGCCAGTGGTGTGTGCATGGGGGAGGGGGCTGTCCAGGAGCACGCACCCCCACCAAGTTTCAGTGGCAGATTCCCATTGAGTCTGAGGTGCCCTACAAGTTGCCTTCCCAGCCTTGGACCGTCTGCCTCCTGGAAGGGTGCCTAGCGCTTGTAATTGTGGACAGGATCTGGCCGGTGTGGGGAGGCAGGCGGGGGATAACCCCTGACTGCTCTGCCATCTACACCTTCTCAATATGGCCTGCATTCCAGTCAGTGCGTCTTTCCCTTGGATACTCTCCCTTGGCCTTAGTGGATTCTTAACCCTTTTATAGTTAGTCCCTGTTATAGTTAATTCTTCTTCATATTAATCATTTCCTGTTCAAATATCTGTGTGATTGGACCCTGACTGATAAGGTACTCTTTATGGAAATGGGCAACAGGAGAGGCAGGTATTGAAAAGATAAATCCCTTTTGGACAAACTGGGCTTGAGATCTTGTGGGACATCCTTACAGCATTCATTGTCTGGTAGGAAGCTGAGTTTTGGGGTGGGGGGCAGGTCTAGAGCTCAGGAGATATATCTAACCTAGAGAGAGGCTTAGAAGAACAGCCTTAAGGTCTCTAAAATCTTAGTAAATGAAGCATATCTACAAATGCCACATGCCAGGGAGATAGAGGTCTTTTGTAATTTTTTGTATGCTCATATGTGTCATCTAGAACCCCTAAATGTGCTATATATATGTGGCAGAAGATGTATGGTGATTTTGTATTGTGCGTGTTAGGTAATGTTGCTTTATACCTATTAACATTTTCAAAGCGAACTGCAAATATGGTTGAAAAGAGCCAAGCCCTATCATAATAAGATAACTCCAATTATACTCCCAACTTGGAAGACTAAACCTGGTGAAGGCAGGGGAGTAATTAGTCATATCAGCAACTGTAGATCCACAAGCAGGAAAACTCTAATCCATGTGCCAATACCCTAAGTAGCAGCACTGAAAACCAGTGAACCGAAGTCTGAAACAACTAGATAAAAACATATTTCGAAAGAGACCCAGGCCAAGCCCTTCTACTTTTTCCAGAGTGTGAATGAGACCAACATAACTTGCTCCTTGCTTCTCCCGTTTCTCAAAAGTTCAGATCTACTGACCACAAAAAAAAAAAAAAAAAAAAAGAAAGTCGCCCTCTCTACAGGTTACCTGCGTTTATAACACCCTCCAAAAACACTCTCGTTCAGCCGTTCCATATTGTTTCCTNTCCAGAGTGTGAATGAGACCAACATAACTTGCTCCTTGCTTCTCCCGTTTCTCAAAAGTTCAGATCTACTGACCACAAAAAAAAAAAAAAAAAAAGAAAGTTTCCATCAGCAGTTTGCAAAGAAACAATTTGGAAGAGAAATGTATTAAATCCTCAGGGAAATTAAACCCGAATAATCCAATAACTACAGCATTACAAAATTAACATTAGACTATGAGTTGAATTAATTGCCTCCTACTGTGGAGATCCGATCCACAGACCAAAACAAATGAGGCCAATGATGTAAACTGCCTTAAGGGACACCACAGGCGAGTGTGACCTTCGGGTGCCCAGGAGTTTACCCACTGTTGTTTTCAACTTTCTGATTTATTCTGGAGATCCCCAATGCCTTCACTTCTGCCCATCTCATACCTCACATTATGGTCGTTCGTGAGAAAGGCGGTACAACTCTTGACACAAAAGGTGCAATTTTATGGCCCGCTCTTTTGTGTATGCACCTCTTACGTGTCTGTGTCTAGAGGTAGCTGGAGCGTTGGAAATCAGTCACTGTAAGGCCTTTTTCTCCTGAGGGGGTTGAGTGGACAGGTGGGAACAAGTAATGATTTCTCTAGAACCCAGGCCATCTGGTGATAAGGCAGGTCCTTAAGAACGCCAGTGGTCTGCTCCAAAAGAGAATCGCTTTGGCATTTCAGTAAATCAGCGTTCCTTTCTGTAAATTCTTCTCTTATGCCACGATGTCAGTATGCCTGTGGCAATGGGAGATTACCTAAATAATATGGGCCAGGGGAGCAACAAAACCAGCACGCGTGTAACTTACCAAACCTCTGCTAGGGTTCTTTAAGGGCTTTGAGGAGCAAGGTAGGGTACCACATCTCACAGAAATAAAATCCCGATGATTTATATAGTTTCGCCAAATAAGGCCCACAGGGCAAATACAAAAGGCCTTGAACCGCCTCCAGCTTCTCCTGAGACAGCTAGTTTGTCAAAACGCCTATCTCATGGTCTTATGCACACCCTTCACGTTACAGTTGGCATTTACTCCTGAAGCTTTTTAATAACCAAACGGCGTTTTACAAAAAGTTAATTAATGGCATTTTATTTGCGGTATTATGTGACTTTGAATTTCTTTTCGCATTCTTAATTTTGCTTGACATTTTGAAAATACTATGCCTACCTCTTTCGTGTGATACAAAAACATTGTTAACATGGCTAGAATGTATTGAATACTATTTTTTTCCTTCTCCCAAGAATTGACGCAAACACCAAAATACTTTTTGTTTGAGCGAGGAGAAATGAAACATCCTGTTTGCTTGGAATCCTAATTACTATGGTCCCAAAGTTACCTAATTAGAAGCTCCTTTTTAATGAGGAAAATTATTTTCAGAGTTAATGAATTTATAAGCAGAAACATTGCTCTTCCCAGAATGAATTACCCACATTCCTTACATACATATTTTAGTTAAACTCTAATTAATATTAGTACTTAAAACATGTGGGATTAATTTAACTGTTAAAGCAAACTCTCCTTTGTTTTTAAACAGTATAAAAAGACCACAATTTCCCCTCTATGTAGACATCAGGCTGCACATATCAACTTAATTCTAGATTTTGGACAAAATGAAAGCTATTTCATCAAAACGATTCATTTTATCGATTTTGGCCACTTCGAGCTTGTTCACATCGAACGTCTTTTGTGCAGATGAATTAATGAAGTCCAATCTTCACAGCAAAGAAAATTATGACAAATATTCTGAGGTAAGTTTTTTAACTCTATCTAATGTGGCTACCATTAAGTATATATTTGTCCAGAGTCTAATACTTTTGTAAAGAGTAAGGAAGTTAGTTCGTGTTTGGTTTTTTTGTCAGACTTCAGCCTTCCCATGACAATGTGCTGATGTAACCTGTATTTTTAACACAACAGCAAAAAGGCCTGTTTAATGACAATTTAAGCATAAGATGTGATACTTAGCAAGCTAAGGTACATTCATAATTTTCAGTTGACTCAGAAGTACACAGTTGTAATAAATAGTTGCAGAAATAAGATCTGGATACATTTCAGCTGGACATTTGAATTGTCTTCAACTACAAACAAAATATTATGACATTGGTATTTTCTACTTACCTGTTATGAGCTGGTAATTTGTGGTCAATCTGTATCTAACTAAAATATTTATCCCTAGATGGTAGAATTGCAAGTTATTTTCATTTTATTTTTTATGCTTTTAAATATTTTCCAAATTTGCTGAAATGAGTATATATTACTTTTTACATCCAGAAAGCAATCATTTAAAAACCTTTATATGGACAAACCTTCATGATTAAACTAAATCTAATTGTACAGCTGCTGTATTTTAAATGGTTTCTTTAAAGTTGGTATATTAGTGGGGCAGTCACCCACAAACCAATTGGTGCTTTACTAAAAATGTAATTTAGATACTGCTAAAAATACAACCCGTTTCTTGAGAATTGCTTTTAGATTTAAAACTTCGAATATGAGCACGTAAAAAAGAAATTCAGTGAAGCATCTTCCAGCTATGCCCTAAAACCTGACTAGCATCTCTGTTTGCACATATCCACCACATTGGCCTTTCAAGAGGGGAAAACAAGAGACACATAAAGGCAGCAGGAGGTTTCTCTAAAATTAAAATATAAAAATATGTGAAATTCTCCATAAACAACATGAATCAAAACCTGACGGAGAATAACTGCAGTAAAATAAACTTTTGCCTCATTTCAATACCTCATTATGTTCCTGATGCTTGAACACATGGCTGTATTCACTATATATTTTTTATTAATATTTTATAGTTGTCTTACAATAGTCCAGGGACAGAGAAACTAGATGGCTTTAAGAAGCTTAACGCAAATTATTTTTTTTTAAAGTTTATCGGGTTGACAATTGTTAGTAAAGCTACATAGATTTAAGGTGTACAATTCTATAATACATTATCTATATATCACATTGTGTGTTCACCACCCGGAGTCAGGTGGTGAACATGCAAATTATTTATTAAAATATTCTGCACATTAAACACAAACTTTGTTTAGAGCTTTAACAATTCTACAGATTGAAGTCTGGATTTAAGTTAATTTGGGATTTGAATCAATTGCTTATAACAATAATAAATAATTTTAATGGTCATTTCTAATGACAGCCTCGAGGAGACCTCACAGGGGAAAAGAAAAGAAGTCTCAATTTTGAAGAATTAAAAGATTGGGATCCAAAAAATGTCATTAAGATAAGTCCACCTGCAGTCAACAAAATGCCACACCTGGGAGCCAACCTGCCCTTGAGGTTTGGGAGGACCGTGGAAGAAGAAAGAAGCACTGACCCAATGGCCAACCTGCCCCTGCGATTTGGAAGAAATACAGAGGACAGCCTCGCGAGACATGTCCCCAATCTGCCCCAAAGGTTTGGGAGAAGAGCAATGGCCATGAGTATCACCGAGGCACTGAAGGATTTGCTCCAACAATCCATGCAGCCCCCACCTGCCAATGAGTTACTTTACTCCATGGCCTGCCAGCCCCAAGAAATCCAGAATCCTCAAGAAAAACACCCAAGGTAAATACCTGAACACTGGTTACAATGTATGGGCAGTTATGTGCAGCTGGTCCTTCGCATCTTTCCAAAAGAAGTTTCTAGGAAAGTTAAGTTTCTTAGAAGAAAAAAGGCCTTAAGACACAGGGAAATAAACACCTGTAAATTGAGAAGTATATAGAAGAAGGTCAGGTACAAATGGGATTATAAGTATAAAGTAATGAGATGGCTTCTCCTAAGCCACACACGGGCCATCTCCTCACTCTCCAGACACACACTAAGTAGGAATATGCAAGGACAGGATTGGGGCTTTAAGTCTATGACATGGTGTCCAACATTTGACCTCTTAACATGAAAGGCCCCATACGAGGGAGTTGTCTGCAATTACAAAGGATGCCATCTCAGTAATCCAGGTCTCAAACTCAGGTTATCTTTCTCAACTTTAAATCAATTTTTTTCTTTTTTTCTGGATCTCATTTTATAAATTATTCCTGTTATTATAATCATTCTTTGTATTAGCATTTATTATCTACTATGTACAAATTAGGGTGCAAGGTACTATAAGAGGCTCAAAAATTAATAAGCTACCTACCTATTATTTCTAGTAGAGGGTATATGTGAAAATATATATTTTTTAATATGAAGTAGTCCATGCCAATTTAGTTAAGACCTAAAGGAAGTAAGGTGGCACGCGATGACACCTTATCTGTAAGACCTTCTCCAAACGCTCCTGGTTTATTTTTTACCATGGTACTTACCACCACCTAACATACTCTATATTTAGGGCCCATCCCATTTACTACAACTTCAGTTCTATAAATCCCACAATTTTGGTTCATTGCCCTATCCCCAATGCCTACAACTGTGTCTGGCACATAGTAAAGCCCTAGATATTTGACAGAATTAATGAAATGATATGAGAGGCACTAATGAGTTCCTACAGAGGGTCAAAGAAAAGAGAACGTTGTTTCACGTGAGAATCCAGGGATGTTCCGTGAGTTGGACTTTGAAAGGTGTCTCTATTTGAACATGCAGAGACTGGTGGGAGGAGAGAGGATATTTTCAGGCAAAGCAAGGAGTATGAGCAAAAGTACTAAAGCAAGGGAATCCAAGGGGAGAGGAAAGAAGGCGAGAAGGATGAGGTAAGAGCAGAGGGTGCAGACATTCAGGGCCACATAAAGGATTGGGGTGCTATTCACCAGGAAAAGGAGGACCACTGATGAGGATCCAATCAATATGTCACTCATTGCAAGTGCAACACAATTCAATTTAAGAGTAATTAGGCAATTAGGACCAAAAATGGTTTGTATTTTTATATGCTCTCACATGCTATTGTTCTGATGGATGAGAACATTTTGTACTGCTTACATTTTTAGGAGACTGGGATTCAAGAAAATAGAGGACGCAGAATTGCAACAAGAAAAATAAGAAATCCAGAGCTGGTCTCTAAAGGCGATATAATGCTGTGACCCGTGATCTGCACACTCTACAGTGATGACAACAATGAATGAAGCGTCACCGCGCTCTTTTAGTGGGTTATCATTGGCAGCAACTTTTTCTTGCCTGCACAGCTAGTATCTTGAAAGTTATTTAAAAAAAAAGTTTAAAGAATATTATAATGTAATGGTGAAATAATTTTTGTCTAAATAAAAAGATCATTGCAAATACTTAAGAAGCTTCTGATAACGGGAAGAGGAGGAGGGACAGGGAAGAGGAACGGGGAGGAGAAGGGAAGGAAAAAGTGGGGAGAAGGGGAGAGCCATATCACTATTCTATGTAAAAATCATGGACACAGTTGCACTGAAGTAAAAAATTAAATAGAAGGGTAGCCTGACAAATATTATGATGAAAATTAAATAATTTAACAGAATAACATAGTTGACAAATAAATGAACATGAATAAAAAAAATCACTTACAAACACGTTTTTATACACCCATCTGTTCCACTGTATCAACTGTTAGTGAATCTACAATAGACTGGAATTTTTTTTTTTAAAGAGAGATTTTTTTTTTAAGGCAACTCTTAGATACCTCTTTAATATCTGGAAATTTGCCTTCTGGTGTATCTCTTTTCTCCTCATTTACTATTTCAAGTATTTGACTTGCAGAAGAAAATCTGGTCACTCTTAAACTAATGGTACACCACATTCATAAACCAAAGTACACCACAACACAAATGCAGTTATTTGACTTTAGTCATAAGAATATGAAGTCCTTAATCAGATATAATTGGTTTATTGAATAGTCTAAACTCCATAGGGTGCAAACCGAAAATAGTATTATTTTTCACCCATCCTGCCCCCAGCTGGGTTGAATCAAAACTCCCTGCTGGATAGAGATCTCTTAATGACTCCCTGGACAGGCTCTATAACTTCCCGGGTCACTTCTTGATATTAAAAAACTCTGTCAAGTCCAGTTGAAGACTCCAACCTCACATCTGAAGCAGTTTCCCTCCCCCATTGTTGGCTGGGCTGGTGGCTGGAAGGACCTGCAGCGGGAAAGGGGCATTGCTCTGCTCTTTCTCTCATCCCTCCCTTCCTGGCCTCAGAGGTGTGGTGGTGGGAGAGAACATGGTAGATCTAGCTTCTCCAGGGTGTTGGGGTGGACAAAGGAGGGGTGGGGTGGGATCAAAAGTAGCCCTTTCGTCCTCTCTATATAATGTTCCTGCTTCCACAAGTGACTTCACCGGGAAGCACTACAGGGACCTGCACACGGACCCTTAGACCCGGATGCCCTTTGAGCTCTTCCAACCACCCTCATCTCATCTGTACTCCCGATAGCTGCTTATTGCCCGAAAGAAAGGCTCAGGCCAGGTACCTTCTCAGCATCCATTCGATCCACAGAAAATGCAGCCACCCTTGCCATGCCAAGGGCAGGACTGCAGGCTGCCCCTCAACTACCCCACAGCTGCCCCAAGTGGCTCCCACTCTCTTTGCCCAGCTTACAGGTTCAGTAAGTCTGCTGTCTAGGCAAAGAACCAGTCACAAATGAACTGCCAGCCCCTCTTCAAGACCCCACTCTCTCCGTGTGATTTTCTAGGAACTTCTCTTGCTTGGCTCTGGGGTGAGGGTCAGCAGGACCTCTCTGGGCCAACCACCCTTACACAGCTGGGAGGGGCAGGACGGCAGGGGTTGGTATGGCTCTGACACCTCTTTGTGGACCCTAAAGGGTGCCTGGCCCCCTCACCATCCATGATTTTCATATTAATGGCAGGTATTTAGTCCCTCTGTACTTTTATGTTTGGTCTCCAGTTGCCAATTCTGAGCAACAGAGAAAGTATCGTGCAATATCCTGCTACACTAGTACATAAACAAGCAAAAGGCCACTTGGTCCCTTGATGCTATATGACATAAGGAAATTTCTTATCATATAACGTGGGTTCTAAACCCTTGAAACTTATGGAAAATGTTAGGTGAATAACCGGGTGTCGGCTGTCCCCTTATCTACTTGGCTGACACTGTGTCTTAGCTCCTTTCCAGCCTCTTCACCCACTTCCACAAGAAATCCATTCACATGAGGGACTTGTGGAATATTGAGGGGATCACATTGTACAGCATTTCACTGAAAGAAGTCTCAACGAGACAAGCTGCTTCTCCCAAATCCCTCTTTAACTGGACCACCAGCAGGGTGGTCAACCTCTGTTGCTCACCCCAAGGTGGCTTCATGGGCTTGCAACCCGTGCAGTCACATGAGGCCCTGAATTCAGTTAAATGCCTTTGTCAATATCTTGAAATTCTTAATAACTTTGAAGAAAGGGGCCCCACAATTATGTAGCCTGTCCTGCTCCCCCAAACCTGGCCCTACTGGCTCCTGTGCGCACACTCCCATCATCCAGTCCCTCTCCATGTTTATCAATCAGAGTTTCCTACATGAAATCCAAGGGCCAGCTGTCCTGCAGCCCAAGGAGGTCTGCTTACACCCGACAGTGAATATAAATATAACTGCACGACTTGTGACACGTGGTCAAAATGCCAATTTACTTTTGCCTCCCACCACCCCCCTTAAAATGTAAGGGACAGAGAAGGGGGTGTGCAGATGTCTTCTCTTGGCCCTGGATGGAAACCTGGCCAGATGCTGTGAACTTCACTGTTGCTCTTAAGTGATGTCAGACCTTTGGCCCCTGTGAGTCAAAAAGACATGGTCTCAATTTCATTGTAATCAACATTTCCATCTGCATTCATTCATTCATTCATCCATCCTCCGTTGTTCCCGTGTAAGGCCTGAGTTCAGGGACAGGAATGGGGTGGACTTCTGTCTGCTCTCTCTTCCAGCCTCACCTGCCTTCTCACTCTCTGTCTGCTTTGTTGGACTCTATTGGGGTAGAAGAGAATTTGGGATGAAAGGCAAGGGGATAGGACGGGTCTTACCAGGGTGGATGGATTCCCTCTCCAGACTGCCCACCATTGCAGGGCCCTCTTCCTGAGACTCCTCTCTTTCCCATGCTACCGTTCGATCCCCAGGCTGGCCTCAGCCCTCACCCTGGAACACAGGCACCAACTCCATACATGCCCATTTCTCCTCTGGGGTCCTCTTCAGTGGGACTCGAAACAGCTTCCGCAAAACTCTTTCCCAAAGCCTGTATCTGGTCACCAAGGCTCACCCTCCACACTGGAGGCCCTTCTCTAGTCTGCTGCCCCCAGATGCTTTAGCTTTTTGGACTGGAGTTGGAATCCAGTCCTTTGTTTCTCTCAACCCCGTGGAACACACCTCCTCGTCCTATGGAAGCCCCTCCCTGGTGAAGAGCAAGGGACTCAGTAACCTGCGGACACCTGGGCTGGGTAGGGGGCATTCACCACAAGGTAACAATGGTCTCCAAAGAAAGCTCACAAACCCAAACCCTATCCCTGTACAGTCTCCAAGTGGGTGAGGAAATTGAGGACTAAGGGAACTACTTTTCAATCACTCCTTCAAAAAGTCTGCAATTGGTGACCTTGCTTTGGAATTTTGCATCTATTAGATTTTGGTGTTTTGGTTAAAACTTCACTTTCGACATGTTTTGCAACAAGGATGGATCTCTCCTTATAAGGAATACTTCTAGCTGCAAAAAAAAAAAAAAAGACAATTTCTCTGAATCATTACACATATATGTAATTTTTCTGGGGAAACAGTTAGGGGTTCTGGGGTTAAATTCTCACAGGGATTTGTGATCCCATAAAGCTCAAGCATCACTACAATAGAAGACTTCTATTTTTAGAATTATTTTAAATTAATATCTAATTCAATTTATAAGTGAATATTGTTATCTGATTGGCCTTTTAAATGCTGTGAACATAATGCCAAAACAATAAGAATCACTCAAGTGGTTAGCTCTACCTTCCTCCAAATACTGGCTTTTTATAGTAGCATAAAATAGAAGTGAGGTAGTAATTATGCTCTTCTCCTCAATGTACTTACCCAGGCACAACCCCCAAAATGTCCCTTGCTATACCCCTCCTCCTTTCTTCTAACACTTCCCTTCCCCAAGGAAATTCCATTTGGATTGGTCCTGTAAAGGTGAGTGGAGTGTAGGGGTGTTGGGGGAAAAGCTAGGGATGACACAGGTTATACGTTGATAATTTTCATGGAAGACAACTTCCATGTGATCGCAGGTCCACGTTTCATACATCATACTATGACAGTGACCTTGAAAAAATACAAAAAGGAAAAAAAAAGTACTGACTCAGGGACCAATTTTTCAGTGAGAAAAATAAAAGGTCAGTGTTCACCTGAACGTGACCAACAAAATGAAAAAAGCAAGAAAGGTGAGAGCGCTTAGCCTCCACTTGCCTCGTGTGTGTGTTTTTCTTTTCTTTTTTTCCCCCTAAAAGATCTTCCTGCAGACATCATGTGACACTCCTCCTTTGGAACTTAGCAAACTACATGTTGTTCCTAGAAACACGCACCCTCACGTTTCTGTGCCTTGTTCCAATTCCTTCACCTCACAGGCCCCTTTTCTGTCAAAATCCTTCAAAACCCAGGTCAAATGTGGATGCAGTCGCACATAACAGAAAACCTAAACAACATTGTTTTAACCAAGACTTTTCTTTATTTCCCCTCACGTTAAAGTATCTGGAAGGAAGCGGTTCTGAGCTAGTTTGGGAATTCCACATTTATCAAGGATCCAAATTCCTGCCATCTTTCTGCTCCATTGTTCTAAGCACATGGCTCCCACCAGGCCATCACATCCCCTTCCAGGCAGCAAAAACAAAGGGACAAAGCAAAGGGGTGTTCTTTTTCTGAAGGGCCCCTTAAAGATCACCATCCAACAACTTCCTATTTGATGTTATTGCCCACCCCAATCGGCAAGTGAAGCTGGGAAATGTAGTTACCCCATTGGACACACTGCCCCCAGCCACTATTACTATGGAGAAAAGAGCATGGACATTAGATGAGCAACTAGATGGTCTGCCCAGCCGCCACAAGCTCACTTCCGTGTTATATAAAACATACAACATATTTTAATTATTCTTCCTCTAGGCCAAGGTCAACACCGTTGGCATTTTGGATAATTCTTTGATGTGGGTGGCTGCCCTGTGCATAGTAGGATGTTTAGCAGCACCCACAGCTTCTGTTCATTGAATACCAGT